GTAGGGCATGACTGAACAACAACAACAAAACCAAGAGCAGACATATGTAATGGAGCTCCTTTTCAATAAGATCAGGTCTAAAGTAAGGATGCCAATTATGACCACTACTATTTAATAATAGTCCTAGAAGTGCTAGCTGTAGCAGTAAAACAAGAAAAAGAAATGGAAAAAAATAAACATATGCAAAAATAATCTTTTTGCATATATGTACGTGTATATATATGTGTGTATATATATACATATATGTGTATATATGTAATCTAATAATTATCCAAAGACTATATGAATCTAAAACTATAAAACTTCTTATAGGTTAAATTAGAGATAATTTCAAAGGGAAGGCATTTAGATTAAGCAGGACTGGAAAAGATTTCTTATAGAAGGTGAGAATTTAGCTGAGACTTGAAAGAAACTTGGGAAACTAGAGATGCTGATGAGGCAGGAGAGCATTCCACCCATGGGGCATAGCCAGTGAAAACCTTGGGATATCATGTATGAGTAACAGCAAAGAGGCCAATGTCAAAGGATCACAAAGTAGAGGCGAGTAAGGTAAAGATAAACGGAAAGGTAGACTTTGAAAGCCAAACAGAGTATTTTATGTTTGAACCTGAAGGTTATCGCCACTGGAGTTTATTGAATAGGAGGGTGATATGATTAGACATTCATTTTTATGAAAATCAATTTGACAGCTGAGTGGAGAATGAATTGGAATGGGGTGAGAGGTGAGACAGAGAAACCACTCAGTAGGCTATTGCAGTGACCAGATGTGAGGTACCAGGATGATTGCAGTGTCAGAGGAGAGAGGGGGACCTCCACTTCTTTCCACTCACTCTCTTAACTTTATGTAGTTTAGCTTTCAACCTCATCATTCAACAGAAACTGCTGGCTCCAAAGTTACCAATGATCTCTCAATTGCCAAATCTAATGGCTTCTTCTCCATCCCCATCCTTCTTGACCTCTTTGCAGCTTCTGACACTGTCAATCATCCTCTTGTTGATCCACTCTTCTCTCTAGGTTTTTGTGACACTGCTTCCTCTAGGGTCACTGCCTACCCATCTGACCAATCCTTCTCAGTCACTTTTGCTATATCTTTGTCCAGTTTGTGCCGGTTAACAGGGGGTGTCTTCGGGCAGCTAGGTGGTACAGTAGATAGAGTATCAGCCCTGGATTCAGGAGGACCTGAGTTCAAATCCTGCCTCAGACACATAACTTACTAGCTGTGTGACCTTGGGCAAGTCACTTAACCCCACTGCCTAGCCAAAAAACAACAACAAAACAGTAGGTGTCTCCCAGGGCCCTCTTCTCTTCTCGCTCTAAACTATTTTGCTTGATCTCATTAGTTGCCATACATTCAATTATCATTTCTATTCTGAGAGTCTCAAATCTACTTCTCCAGCCCTAACTTCTCTATTGACCTCCAGGCTTAAATCTCCAACTACTGGTCACTTCAAAACGGTATCCCACGGGCATCATTAAACTCAATGCATCATAACTGAACTCATTTATCTTTTTCCCCAAACCCTCCCCTTTTCCTAACTCACCTATTACAGTAGAGGGTAAAGTGCAGTGTTCTTTCAATCACTCACTCAGGCTCAAAACTAGGCTCAAATCCTCACTTTCTCACCATCAAATCCTGTTGATTTTACTTTAATACATCTTTCATGTGTCCCCTTCTCTTCTCTGATATTGCCACTACCCTGGCACAGGCCCTCATTACCTCATGGCATAGTTATTTCAATTGCCTTTTGGTTAAAGACTGTTTCAATTCTGTCCCTACTCTAATAGGAAGACTCGGTTATCAAACTGATATTCCTGAAGTGTAGGTCTGACCATTTCATCCTTCTACTCAATAAATTCCAGTGGCTCCCTATTGCCTCCAAGATCAAATATAAAAATCTTGTTTGGCTTTCAAAGTCCTTCATAAGCTGCCTCCTGCCCACCTTCCTAGTCTTTCTATACCTTACTCACCCCCATGTAACCCCATGATCCAGTTTTACTGACTCCTTTACTTTTCTTCAAGCAAGAGATCAGCATTCACATAGAATCTGCTCCCAAAGGCATGCATTTTCATGGTTGTCCCCCATTCCTGGAACTCTCCTGCCTTATCTCTGCCTCTTAGTTTCTCCGGCTTTCCTTCAGGTCTCAGCTAAAATCCCACCTCCTACAAGATTTTCCCAATTATCTTTAATGTTTAATGCATGTTGTTTCCACTAGATTGTGAGTTCCTAGAGAGCAAGGATTGTCTTTTTGCCTTTCTTTGTGTCCCCAGTGATTTGCACAATACACAACATATAGTATTTACTTAATAAATGCTTGTTAACTAACAAATAAAATGTAAAAAAAAGAATCCAGGGTCCCTTTTTTAACAATGGTAAGCAAAAAGTTATCAGATTCCATTATTGCCCAAACATTAAGTAAAGGCAGAACTGAAATCCAGATTGGCCTTGAATTTGCATATGATCATTCTTTTTTCTGCTTTCTATAGGAAAAGGGAATCAAAGTTCTGGGAAGAGAAACAAAATTTAGATAAGACTGGACAGGATGACTGAGAAGTCCTGTTCTGATGCTTCATCAAAATATGGGAGTTGACTCGAGTTGATGAAGGTTATATCAGTAGAGTATAAGCTTTGGCAGATTTTATCAAGCAGGAAAAGTTTTGAGTTGTGGTCCCTTCAGTTGACTGGATCTGTTTACAAGTTAAATATGGTGGGGTTCTAGAATTTTGAGGTCATGGATATTCCATACCACAAAATGGAATTTCAGGTTTCATTTTCTCTCCCTCTCCCTTCCATTTACCTTTGGACACATTTCATAAGTGTCTACTTAAGCTTTCAAAGAAACTACCACCTACTCATTTAAAACCTGGAGAGGCAACAGATTGAAGACAGCAAGGAAATAAGGGTTATAGGACAGAAAATTGGTAACAGATTCTAGTAAATGTATCTACTGGGAATGTATTAGGACTTCTTGGTCCAAACTGCCCAAGGAAGCCCCAAAACATGACCACTCTTCAATTTTTAAAATTTGTTTTTAATTAATTTAAATCTTTTTTATTTTTTTAATCTTTATTTAATTTTATTTTTAAAATACTGAACTTAACAAACACCAAATAAAACGAACATTTCCAGTTTACAGAGTACTGGACTTGGATTGGAAAAACCTACTTTATTTGGAATCCTGCCTCAGACACTAGCTGTGTGACCCTAGGCAAGTCACTTAATTTCTCTGGGTTTCAGTTTTCTCAACTGTAAAAAATCAATGACTTCCAGTTCTAAATCTTATGATCCTATGACCAAATACAGAACAGAGAGAATTGTACATGAAACTGTAAATCTCTATTACAAACACATTGTTCTTAAAATATATATACATTCAACATGTAACCTTCAAAACTGTCCTATTTGTCAGTGTTTCCTCCCTCTGGCTTTCCTTCTATTCTTTTCTGCTTCAATAACACTCTTCTTTTTGGCAAACTAACACTATTCCTATATACCAACGAATAGAAGGGAAGAAACAAAACTCTTATAACATATACACACAAATCTGCAAAACAAATTCCTACATTGACAGTATCTGAAATGTCTAATTCTGTTCATTCACATTATATATATGTATCTCGTATAAAATAAAGTTATTTGCATGTCGACTCCCCAATTAGAAAGTGAGCTCCTTGAGTTCAGAGGCTGTTTTTGCTTTTTATTTTTTTGCATGCCCAGAGCTTAGCACAGAGTCCAGCACAAAGTAAGCACTCAATAAATGCTTGTCCTCAACAGACTATGATGCTAAGTGCTCACAAGGTCTTTCCTTAATGTTAACTAACTCTGCCTCAAAGTCCAATGACATCTCTCCAAATATTGCTTCAAATGTCCATAGAACCCCAATTTAGCTTTATACTGCTTTCCGTCCACTATTACCGTGAGCCTGTTGACACTCTCCATTCCCTAGTATCACTGCAGCTTTCAAATCAGCAACTGATACTCCCATCCCCTCAACATATATGCATTTACATAAATATATCTATATATACATATTTGCATATATTATACATACATATATAATGCCAAAAATCTGAGTGTAGTTTTAAGCTTTAATGACTTGTGTGTACATACATACATACATGTATGTATATGTGTACACATATGCATACTCGTATATATACATATATAGGTGATCTCTCATATCCCTATCTCACCTATCTCCCAGTGTTGTTTTAAGGATAAGATATTTGCATATAAATACACTATTATTATCATTATGCTAGTAACAGCAGATAGCTACATGGATAAAGGGTTTGACTTGGAGTCAGGAAGATCTGAGTTCAAATCCAGCCTCAGACACTTATCAGCTGTGTTTCGCCTTACTCCCTTCCTCCCGAAAACTAGGACCATAAAAGCATCCACCTCGAGGATTTGTTGGGAGTAGCAAAGGAGGTAGCATATGTAAAGTGTTTTGCAAACCATACATGCAAAGCTAGCTATTATGATGCTTATTTCCTTCTAAGATCCCATATTCATTCCCCTCTGTAGTGCCTTCCAATCCAGGCTCTCCCAGAGGTTTAGGATTGAAAAATCTAATAAAAATGCCCATTTCCGAGATCAAGATCTGAGTGAAGAAAAAGCTCTCTCCCCACCTCCCATCCAGAGCTGGCCAGACTCCTCCCCCACCAGGGATCAGATCCTGACAGGACTTTCTTAGGACTAATCACGCCTTGCAGGGAAGTGCTCAGTTTTGGGGTGCAGGGGCGGGGCTAAGGTCCTGAGGTGCCTTCGGCCCACCTCCGAACGCGCGGGGGGTCACTGCAGGCGCTCCAAGGCCCCGAAACAGCAAGGGCTTCAGCTGCGGGCGCCCGGGGTGGGGAGGGAGGGAGAGAGAGAGGAAGGTCAGAGCTTGCACGAGGCGTCGGGAACCTGGGGAACGGGGAAGCCGAGGCTGGGACTGGGGACCTACGAGAAGGGGAGGGACAACAGATGGCAACAACCCGCGAGGCCGCGGTCCCCCACCTCCGTCTGCCTTTCCCACCAAAGCAGAGGCCCGGCCGCCCGGGCGCGAGCACAGCGGTCTAGCTTCTCTCTCACTGAGCACGCGTGGAGACTAGACGGCAAAGGCGAAGCGGGAAAGGGGGGAGGCGGAAGTGCCTCGGCGCACGCATGCTAACTCCTTCGCAAAAACTACAATTCCCAGCGGACCCCGTTCTGCCGTAATCACAGCTTTTAGTTATTATGAGCAGGGCCTGATTAGAATTGGGATGGTTCTTTTGACATTAAGGCTTGTCTCTCTGCCCAGGGATGGATAATGTTTTTTTTTCTTTTCCCAAATCCTGATTCTAATTCTGCTGCATTTCAGCTTTATTTTCCAGCGAATCACTTGCCACTCGCCCCTCCACGGTTCCCCTCCCTCTTCGCAGCCAAAGGACCCTTGATCCTAATTCCGCCCCTCCGAACTCGTATTGGCCAGTCGATGGGAGGTTGCATTAATTGAGGGCGGTCCAAACACCTCATTTTCCAATGCGAAGAGGCGCTGAGGCCACGTTCCTTCGCAGCAAAGAATCTGCCAAGTGGTGATGGTTACTTTTGATTGGATCGGAGCAAATAGGGGTGGGGGAGAAGGGAGACTGTGCGCAGGTGCGGTCGGGGTGGCGACGGTGGGCGGGGAAAGAATAGGGAGTGACGTGATACCTCCCACCCCTTCCGGCCTTTTTAATTTGGCTAGGAGGCAGGGAAACGAGATAGAGTGAAGAAATCCAATCATTCCATTTTAGGGAAAGTCTAAGGCAATCTTTTGGCTATTTCACCAGAGCTCAGTTTTCTTTTTTTTCTTAGCCGCTCTTCTCTGCCAGGAGAGTGAGAGTTAAGGTGACATCTTGGCACCAATTTTATTCTAGTGACAAGTCTTTCAGAGGATGTAAGCCTGTGTACTCCAAACCCCTCTACCATCCCTTTCTTATTTCCACTTTCCCTTTCCCGCACCCCTAGTTGGGCTTGGGGTGCGTGTGTATGTGAAGTAATTCATAATTAAAAATTTGCCGAGGCGTCCACCTCCTTCTAGGATGCTGCTACGTCCCCATCTTGGCTGAACAGGGAAGACTGTATAATGGAATAAGAAACTGGCTTTACAATCCCGAGGTGAGTGGTAGCTCCCAGCACGTGCAACGCCAAGAAGCGCGAGACTGATAGGTCGAGTGCGCAGGCGTGGCCCTTTCGAGGAGGAAAGAGGCGGGGTGGAAAGGCAGCAGGGCTAGCAGCCAGGCGGAGGCCGCAGACGTTCAGACCCAGGAGCCGGGGACGGGGTGTAAGGAAGCTCTTCCCATCGGCCCTACGCCGACGGTTGGTGGGCGTGCGCGAAGGATACGGGTGGGAGGTAGATCGTTGCGAAGGCAACGGGGCTGTCACTTGGAAGCGGCAGTTCCCTTTTTTAAAAGCCTGTAGCCGTTAAGTTTGTTCTGTCCCTGGTGCGGGCACAACAGGGGGCGTGGGGTAGAGTGCGCACGCGCAGTGTATCCGGTCGCGCGCGTTAGGAGGGGTGGAGGAAAAAGCGCAGGCTCTGTTGTTTTCTTACTCAGTTCGGGTCTCGCGGGCAGCTTGTTTTGGTCTCGCGCGGGTTAGTGGAGACGCGAGAGAATAAGGGAAGAGCGAGGTTACGCGCGCACTGGGAGAAGGGGCGGGGAAGAAGAAGGGAAAAGGGAGGGGGTGTAGGCCCCCTGATCTCCCTCGTTAGCCTAATCGGGGGAGGGGGGAAGAGATGATCGAGATGGCAGCTGAGAAGGAGCCGTTCCTCGTGCCGGCCCCGCCGCCGCCACCCCTCAAAGCTGATTCCAGTGGTGGGGGTGGCACTCTGGTGCAGCCACACCGAGAGGCCTTCTCCGGGGAGCTTTGTGGCGGGACAGCTCAGGGACCAAGCCCACATACGCCCACCGTATCAGGCAGGGAGGGCTTTCTGGCCCCGTCCTCCGCTAGGGCTGGCCAGAATCCGCAGCGAAGTGGCGACCCGATGGCGCAGGGGGAGGCCCGCCAGTCCGAAGCTCTTAGAGAGGCCCCTCCCCCTGACATGGAGGAGGAGCGAAGGGGATGGGGCGGGGCCGAACTAGGGACCCCAGCACCCCCCAGACAGCGCAATGGCTTTCAGCCCCATAGGCCCTCAGGGGCTGGTGGGAGCAAGAGGAGGAATAGCTGTAATGTGGGTGGCTTCAAGCATCCAGCCTTCAAGAGGCGTAGGCGAGTTAACTCGGACTGCGACCCAGTGTTGCCCTCCAATTTTCTCTTGGGGGGCAATATCTTCGATCCTTTGAATCTGAATAGCCTCCTGGATGAGGAGGTAAGTCGAGCACTCAATGCTGAGACTCCCAAGTCCTCCCCACTGCCAGCTAAGGGGAGGGACCCTGTGGAAATCCTCATTCCCAAGGACATCACTGACCCACTCAGCCTCAATGCTTGCACTGATGAGGCCCAAGTGGTTCGTGCCTCACCGCTCAAGACTGGTAGGAAGCGACATCGACATCGTGGACAGCACCACCAGCAACAGGCAGGAGGACCTGGGGGGAATGATCCCACCTCCTCTGCACCTCCCCCATCTTCCACAACTCCCTCGCTGCATGGAGAAGCCACCCCCCAGCAGCTGCAACAACGACAGAGGTCCCAAGGCCGGGATGGCCCCCAGCCTTATGAACTGAATACTGCCATCAACTGTAGGGATGAAGTAGTGTCCCCCCTTCTGCCTGCCCCACAGGACCCCCCAGGCACACGTGCAGCCCCTTCAGCTGCCTCAACTACACCCGCTCCCTTGTCTTCTTCCTCCCGCCACCACCGGAAACGTCGTAGGACTTCCAGCAAGTCTGAGTCAGGTGCCAGGGCTAGTGGGCAGGGCCCTAAGGAGAAAGTCCGGGTAAGAGGGGGAGGCCGCTATCATGACCACCCTCTGCCTGCAGCTGGTTTCAAGAAGCAGCAAAGTAAGTTCCAATATGGGAACTATTGCAAGTACTATGGCTATCGAAACCCAAATTGTGAGGATGGGAGGCTTCGGGTGATGAGGCCTGAATGGTTCCAGGGCCGTGATGTACTGGACCTAGGCTGCAATGTAGGCCACCTGACGCTAAGCATTGCTTGCAAGTGGGGCCCAGCTCGAGTAGTGGGTGTAGACATCGATGCTCGGCTCATACACTCTGCTCGACAGAACATCCGACATTATCTATCTGAGGAACTTCGTCTCACACCCCAGCCACCTGAAGGAGTCCAAGGACCAGAGGGTGGTAAGGGGACTGCTACCACCCGAAAGAAGAGCTGCTTCCCAGCCTCCCTGACTGCCAGTCGGGGCCCCATTGCTGCACCCCAAGTGCCTCTGGATGGGGCTGATGCCTCCATATTTCCCAATAATGTTGTCTTCATCACGGTAAGGAGACCTAGTAGCTGTTGGAATACGAAATATTTTTGCAGACTTGTTTACTGTGCCATGACCAGAGAGGGAGGAGAGGCAATTATGGCTAGGAGCAAAACTATTCTTATTTGGTATGTCCTGAACTGCAGCTTGGGAACTCACATTTGAAAATGGGCTAGGGCCTGTGCAGATAGGGCCTTGATTTCCCAGCTTAATGATTATATGCAACCTTCCCCAGGAATTCAAGGTGCTTGCTTATAAGGACAATGAGTATGGAATTCCTCTGCCCTGTTAATACCCTTAAACTGAGTCTGCTCAGCAGACTAGGATTATTCCAATTAATATTTTAAACTGGCAAAAACTTGACCAGAGAGCTATCCCAGGAGCCATACTCAGGTGACAAGTATCTGGCCTGGTGCCTCTCCTGTATTTTTCAGGTTAGATAGACCAGAGGATTCATTGCCCTTTTCCACTGTAGACTTCTGTCTCAACAACCCTTATCTTCATGAGAAAGCTAGAACCCTGCAGTCAACTTTTCTCCTTTAATGTATTGGTTTGAATGTTATTAGTCAGAAAACTCTAGTGGATTACCTAGGAGTAGAACCAACAACAACAAAAAGGTGTAGGGAAAAATTTTAGGGACTTACAGTTTTAGTCCTAGAAAGAACTTGTGAGGTCCAAAGGTCCCCTTGGATTAGTCCAACCCCTTCATTTTACAGATCAAATCAAGTTCCCAGGGCAGTTAAGTGCTTTGCACATGGTCATATAGGCAGTAAGTGTAGGATCTGAGGCTTCCAGTTCAAGATATTTCTGTAGAGTAAGGTAAAGGGGACTGAAAAGTTTGGTGGGGAGTCAGAGCTATGGATAGGGTTAGGCTTTGGGGGCAGTGGGATTTTTTAAAATTTTCAGTTAACCTCAACATTTTAAGTGCATAGTTTCTGCCAGGCACCGGGGACATAAAAAATAAATTGAACATGCCTTGCACTCACAAAGTTTATATTTTCCTGAGTTTTGTTAAAATTTAACACTGAAGAAAACTCACTTGAAACTCTCACAAGACTGGGGGCAGGGAGTGGAGAGGTGCAAGTGGAGAGGATGACAGAGAATGGGGAAAGACTGGAGGGGCTACCCAAGACCTCCTGAGGAAATGCATCTTTGCCCTAGGGAAAATTGGTGTGGGAGGGAGATAAGTACTGGAATTGGGTCAAGGCTGAACACTAGGGCTTTCTCCCATAATGACCTTGCCCATACCTCAGATAACTAATCGATTTTGGTGGTTTGTCCGTGGTACAGCCTTCTTTCTACTGTCTGTACTCTTTCCTTGTGCTTTCTCTGTTCTGCCAGAGTGAGGCAGAGGTGCTGGAACAGAGTGACATTCAACTAGGGAAGTTCAGTACCCTCAATAAGCTTGTTTGGGAAATGTCTGAAAGGCAAAACTACAGATTAAACCTGCCTTAATTTTTTTGGGATTCCATAGTGGAATAAAGGAGTGGAGAATACTGGTTTCCCTGTAATGACCTTTATTAAAAAAAAAAAAAAAAAACTTGCCTTCTCAGGGTAATTATGTGTTAGATCGAGATGAATTGGTAGAAGCCCAAGCTCCTGAGTATGATGTGGTGCTCTGTCTCAGTCTCACTAAATGGGTGCATCTGAACTGGGGTGATGAAGGATTGAAGCGAATGTTTCGAAGAATCTACCGCCACCTACGACCTGGGGGCATTCTGGTTTTAGAGCCCCAGCCTTGGTCATCCTATGGCAAGAGGAAGACACTCACAGTAAGTTGGACCCTAGGGGAAGGTGAAAGGGATCATTCCCATGAAGTTGGGGGGGCAGGGGGAGATGTATTGGTTAAATGGGGCTCTGGCTAAAATTCTTGGCTGAGAGAGGAAGAATGGGAGTGAGTAAGTCAACAAGCATTTGGGAACTTAATATGCTAGGCACTGTGCAAAGTGCTAGGGATACAAAGAAAGATTAGTACCTGTGCTTATTCCTAGGAAACTATCTACAAGAATTATTATCGAATTCAGCTGAAACCTGAGCAGTTCAGTTCCTACTTGACATCCCCTGAGGTTGGCTTCTCTAGCTATGAGCTTGTGGCCACACCCCACAACTCTTCCAAAGGTGAGATCCATACTAGTCCATCTTGGTCTATATTTTGTGGGTGGGGGATGGAGAGTGGGTAGAAGACTTCAAGTGGATGATAACACCTCCCAGCTTGGCTGAGGAAGAGTAGAAATTATGAGGGAGGTCTTAAATTGCAACACTCATCTCTGCACTATTTGCCCTTCATACTTGTTGGCTATAGACAATTGACCCATGTGCTATCTCAATTCCTGTGTTTTCTCTTTTATAGTATCACTTTTCCTTATCCATACCTTTTCCCTACAGGCTTCCAGCGTCCTGTATACCTGTTCCACAAGGCTAATTCCCCTAGCCAATGAGGAGCCCTTCAAGGACAATAATGAGAGGCTGCTCTGTGTTACTGAGGACCTGTGGGGGTGGTGGAAAGAAGTTCCACTCATGGCTTGCTCCTCTTCCCGATAACCCAATTTGTTTTCCTGCCAGAATCTTTAAGAAGGAGACTTCCAATCTCCAGCACCTAAACATCGGGCACAATTGGACTAAAGGTTGTCACCGATTTCTCCCCACAGCCTACTAGGCTGGATGATATGGATTGTGAACCCTTGCTTTTAGTAAGGGGAGCTGGGTGTCCAAATCTCAATCGCTCTGGGCCTTCCCTTTTTGTCTCTTTCCCATCTACCCCTTGGATTCCTAGCCCCTGGTGGGCACCCTGGCCACGTTTCAGTGGACCAATTTAGGATTGGGTATCACCAGATACTGCAGAAGTCCCCTCTAGATGGTCCTTGTGTGATGGGGGGAAGAGAGGGTTTGGGGTGAAAGCAGCACAATAAACCTGGTATTGAAGGCAGTGACCCCTAAATTTAAATCTTTTGCTTAGCTAATGGACTGAGAAGTCAATGTAGGGAGCAGAACCCTGTCCCCTCTGCAAATGTCCCAGGCTGGTGTATTAGAGGTGTGTTGAAGGAATGGGGCATTGAAGAAACTGAAGAGGCGGAAACTCCTGTAAAAGAGTAGGGCTTTTATTGACTAGGGAGGTGTGGAGAACTCTACTTTTTCTGCAAGTAGTCACATGTCCCAAAACTCTACAAGGGAAAGTGACATTAGGTTGTCCTCTGCTGAAGGAGATCCCATAGCCTCAAATGTGGCCATGCACAAGAAGAAAACAGAACATACAATACTTTTAAATCCAATAACCGGAGAGGAAATCAACCTTTATATCTTCCCACTCCTATTTCATATAAAAGAGAGATTACTAGGATCCTTTTTGGGTAAGGGGGAAGCTATCTTCACACCATTTCCCATCTTCATGTTGCTTTTCTCACCCCTTCCCCTGGAAGGTTCAAACCCTATGGGAGTAGCACAGTAGCACTCAATAAGAGAAAGTTTTCAAGAGCTGTTCTTAGGCTCTTATTAGGCTAAGCCTTACTGATTACCAACCTTTTCCAAATCCTCAGAAAAAAAGTTCACTTATCAAAAAACTTTATTTCTATAAAACCCAATGTAAAGGACAATACCAATATGTGCACCCTTCCCACCACAACAAAAATAAAAGTGAAGACAATTCTGTAATACTATGTATCCCACCGTCTGAGAGTCTGATGCATGAGGAAGGTATCCTCTGCAGGACGGGTCTGTGGCTTTAGCTTCAAGAGTGGGAACCCTTCAAGCATTAAGTGTGGAGACTCATGGGCCAGTGATTGGGGATCACATAAGATGCTTAGTTCTGGACCTGCCGCAGGAACCTCCTGTTTGGGATTGGAATACAAGTCAGGAACAACAGCAGGAAAAGGTAAGTTTTACAACAACCAAAAGCAAGCCAGGGGTCCGTGGGGATTGCGTCTGAGACCTGAAGATGAAGTGCATCCCCTTTCCCTTGCCCCTTCCACCTCAAACACAAACCTTTATCTTGTGGATTGGGACCTGAGGCTGTGATGGAAGCAAGGCCAGTCTTTCCATCAACGCAGCATTCAACACTTGCTCCTTTGGCACCTGCAGGCTCACCAGGTCCCGGTAGAGCCGCTGGGATCTAGGCATGTTCAACCCTGATGGGAAGAGGTGGTGGGCCAGCTGGGGTGGGAGCTAGAACAGCCCCTGCACCTACAGTCTCAATCCATTGGTGGGAAACCTCCCGGTTACCACCAGTCACACTTCCTTACCCTCCGACACGTTTTCCTCCATCTCACAGCGACTTAAGAATGAACTTTTCAACTGCTCCTCTGCAGCCTTCAGGGCATCAAACTGCCCCAAGGCTGTGACCTCCCTAAGGGACTCTAGTTGTTGCCCCAGGGCCAGGGTACTTTGAAGCCCTGGGGCTACGAGGTGTGGTAAGGCTTCACACTTCTCCAAAGGTTCGTCTGTGGGTATCCTCCCCCGTGGCGGGGACACGCTGGAAGCGGGAGACTGACACGGGGAAGCCAGGTGGAAGCGAACCTGGAAAGAGATGAACTGGTGATGTGGTGGGCAAGAGAACCAAGTGGGGAGGAAGACGGGGCCAGTGTACGAAACAGACTAGAGTGTACTTCTAGCGATGGAAACGAGAACGGCAGGAAGCAGAGCAAAGAGGACGAGTGAACAGCAGGAGGGAGACCAGGTGAGGCAGGAATGAGGGAACGAGAGAGGCAAAGCCTCCTCACCTGCCGCGCTCTTTGCTGTCCTCTCCGGCCCCCGGACCTGGCTCCCCCCAGCCGGAGGATGGAGCAGGGCGGCTCGGGGCTCCTCGGGCCTGGGCTCAGACTCAGGTCCAGGCCGGGTTCGGGCTCGGGCTTGGAGGCAAAGGGTTCGGGTTCTACTTCTGGAGCCCCCACGGTCACCCCCTCCCTCGAGGGTCCCCCGAACCTTCCCTTGCCCCGACTCAGCATCATCCGGTAATTGGCAAAGGGGAGGAAGATCTGGAGTAAGCCCACTGGTCAGAAACGCTATGGTCCAGGAGTCCGCGGCGCAGCCACCAAAACCCGTTAGCGTTCCCAAGAGAAGGCTGGGAGAACAACCCCCTCCCACCCCACGCGTCACTTCTCCTTTGGGTTTTTCTACAACGTTTCCGCCCTGAAGCGACATGGACCCTCCCTTGGGCTAGACTGAAGAGCTTCACGACCAATCAGGAGACGGCGAGGACTTACGCGTCCTCGAAGCCCGCAAAGCCCGAGGGACGGGAGGAGGAGGGGCGGAAAGATGGGAAGCGAACGATTGGTTGCCAGCCGCGCTTGTCTTCTGTGACGTGATGCGAACGGCCAACGTGCTCGGGGACGGGGCGCGCACCTCGAACATCTTTGTCCTCCTTCTTAAACCTCGCAGCGTAGACGTTAACCGTATGTTTGCTCTCCGCTCTCCTAAGGGAGCACGGTACCGTTATGAGGGAAAGACCGTGGACGAGGTTGCGTCCCTTCCGTAGTCCCAGGCCTAGAATAGCTTTCGAATCTAGAGTGAACAGGTGTTCGACATAGACAAACGGCTCCCTGCTTTGCCTCTTGGTCTCAGTTGGTCCGCGCTGGGTTCTGTCCTCCCTCTCTTCAGGAACCGAAGGCCGTTTGCCTTACACCTCCCCATGACCACGTGTTAGAGTTGCCGCACTGCAGGACACCCCAACACATTTATTAAATACAGAAACCTGGAATAATTACAAGGATCCCTGACATTTAAAACACTTTATCTTTTTATCTCATTTAATCTTTACAACGATCCTGAAAGGTGGAAATCACAGGCGTAATTCCAGTTAAGGATGAGAAGAGGTTCGGTGTAAGTAACTGGACCAGGTTCACACAGCTAGCCAGCGTTAGAGGGGATATTCACACCCAGCTCTCACCTCATTCCCAGTGTCAACATTCATTTCACCACTTATTAGCACACTGCCTCTTCTACAGAGTATACTGGAAGATGAACATATATACTGGATCCTCTTGTATTTCAGTAAGACCTTCATCTAAGTTTCAGTTGTATAAGAATAGATGATGTCCCCATAATATATATAGCTTTGCCCTCCAAAAAATTGTGACTACCTCTAATCCTCAATCATCATCTCTGCTCCAGTCTAGTGTAACCTGTGGTCCAGGCCCTCCCTAAGGACCCTAGACTAATATGCCTTGGTTCTTTGTAGATTTCATCCTAGATGGCTTGACCCCAAGAGGGTAATTTTCTCTTTTTGGCTGTTGCCTTCCCTGGAGTTACTCTAGGAGTAGATCCTAATATATTCAGGGTATAAAGCTCATATCCAGGGTTTTCTCACATGTGAGTAAGTGGGCTCTCTAGCTACATAAAGCGATCAAGATACTAAATGCATAGTGAGTACAGGACAGCCTTTGTTTCACCTCACCAGAAAATGTACAAGGTGCAAAGGACTTAGAGGAAAGCTATAGAGACATATAAAGCTTTCAGATCATCATATCTTAGAAGAGAACTTTACTTAGAGTTCTAACTGGATAACACCCTGACATTGCAGAGAAATCCCTGTCCCCCACAGAGACCTGTCCTCCCCAAGGCTCATAGTGCCATCTGGTAATTTAACCATCTCCTAGAAGGTAAACATACTTTTTGTTGTTGTTGTTCAGTTGTTTTCCAGTCTTGGATGACTGTTCATGACCTGATTTGGGGTTTTCTTGTCAAAGATACTGGAGTTATTTGCTATTCTCCTTCTCCAGTTCATTTTACAGATAAGGAAACTGAGGTAAACAGGATTAAGTGACTTTCCCAAGGTCACACAGCTAATAAGTGTCTGAGGCCAGTTTCCAAGTCACGAAGATGAGTTATTGTGATTCCAGGCCCAGCACTTTATCTATCCACCGTACCAACTAGCTGCCCTTAAAAACATACTTTGGGGACTGCTGACCAGTCCCCTTTTCATCAGACCTTCATAGTCCTCAAACTCCCTGGCATTGCTCTTCAAGTAGGGTGATGTGCAGTAATTTTGTAGAATGTCCTCTTTTTTTCCCTAAGAGCATACAGCCACAGGAAATCCTCTTTTCTCTCTGGGTCTGATCCCAAGGCAAAGCCCAGGAATTCTCCCCTTCTCTAGCTACAAGCCCAGATTCTGGGATCACCTGCCTATTATGGAATTTAAGATCCCCCTTCCTTTATGATGAGTTTGAGGTCCATGAACATTGTTCATGAACTGAACACAACTACCACTACTGTGAGATTTTGCAGGGACTCTTCTCATTTCCTCAGCTATCATCTCTGGGTTAGAGGAGTCTGCATAATGGGAAATGAGGAGGAAGGGAGAAGAGTGGAATGGCCTCAATTTTTTCAGTGAAGGATGAATCAAGGATATCAGCTAAGAGGAAAGGGGGAGGGGATGTCATGGGATGCTTGAGGAGAGATGACTACTGTGAAAAGTGGGATAGCAAATCAGAGAGGAATAGAAGGCCCAACTGATATTAGATAACATATAGTTGACCCAATCAGTTCAATCCCATTACTTCCTCCATTCTCCTTCAACTGCAACTGAGTAGGAATGGGGGAAGTGAATGGCGGGAATAATCCAGGTTTGGGGCTTAGCACGGGGGACAGAGAGGCAAAGAATTTGATAGTAGACAGCATAGTGGAATTGAACTGGTTAATTATTAGAGTCAAGGTTGGGATGGAAAGAAAGTGAGCAGAGCAGGGGTAATGGCCTGAGAAAATACTGAGGTCCAAGAGATCCAAGGTCATAGTGAGGATGAAGAATAGGTTTAGAAGGGTCAGGGCATAGGAAGAGATAGAATGATAGGTGCCTACAATCAGGTAAAGTAATGTCAGAACTTTCAATTATGGAAATGAAACATTTGTGGGTCATGGTGAGATCTAGATGTAACTGTTCCTATACGTCTCTGTCTAAGGCGGGAGTTGGTCAAGGGATTTGGGAAGATGGGGTAGGGTGCTTGAGGAGCATCGACATGCTTAGATCTTTAGTGTAAGGGCAAAAGTTGGGGTGGAGAGGAAGATGGTGTACTGCAGTCCCCCCAAAATGAGTTAGAATGATCTAGGATCTGGTAGACAGCTATGCTGATATTGATAGGGTGATTTAACTTCAAAGGAAGAGAAGTAGCTGAATGAGGTCAGCAAAGGAAAAGTCTGGAAATGGCATTGGGGAACAAGGAGTATTCCAAGTACTCTTCCAGGACCAGTGTGACAAGGGAGTATAATAGAAGGCACAGCAAGTGTTTGTTGAAGATAATGAGGAGTTCTGCGTCATCTGGGAGAATACAGTTCTCTGTGAGCACCCAGTGAGTGATTTATAAGATGGAGGGAGCACAAGAAAAGATCCAAAGTGGAGCTATTTTGTTAATTATGGGACAGATTCCATGAGTTGGAGTGGAACATAGGAAGGGCAGTGTTCAGGAGGATGAAGGATGAGAGAGCGGGAGGTAAGGATTAGGAGGGGGGAATGGTTTCATTTTAGGCAGCCATGGCTTAATATCACAAATATTAAGAGAGTATCAGATGGTGGAAGTTTTTTAGCCAAAACAGATAACAGTGGGTATGAGCAGCTCTGCTGACGATTATAGATGATTAGAAGGCTCACAGTCTTGGCAGAGGGCAGTATGATCAGGGCAAAGTGCCTGGATGATAGTATGGGTTGACATGAAAGAAGGACAGGAGCACTTCAGAAAATATATACAAATATACCATACATGTATAAATACATATATTTGCACACCTGTCTGTGTAGCACATGAAGGCATATGTACATATGTGTAAAGAAACACATTCAGAGACGTACAGGCATGAAGGCACATGCACATGTGCTCACACACACTCTTTTACCCTACTGTCATTGGCACCCACTTGCATGAAATAACAAAGAAAGGAGAAACTATTACTGTTCTCTCTATCAGTCCCAAACCAGAGACCCAGTAGCCTTTGAACCTCTAGCTCTCCCATCTCTATTGAGAAATCCAGGTGCCTGCTGGTTGCCTAAAATATCACAGGTCATGTAAACAGGTCCTGATCACTCACCTCTTTCTTTTCCCCTCCTCTGCCAAACTATATATAATGGTTCTCTGGCAAGATGCACAGAGCTCCTCTGATGCTACCTGTCACATGGAAGAGGCCAACTCTCCTGGGAGTGTCATAATGGAAGTACCTTGGAGAGACTTGAGTATCCTATAAGCATTCTATAACTGATTCCAATCTACTGACCATATAGTTAGGAGAAAACTTCAGAACACTAGGTAGCTAGAGCTATCAGTGCCTTCAAAAAGGCATCAACAACCAGAGACTCATCCATTTACTTCCACAGTTTGTTCTTGGTTGAATTCCTTTCCTCACTGTGCCCAGTAAGAAACAATGTGTGATCCTGTGAAAATAGGCCTTTTGCTTTGCTATTTGGTTGTTTTTTTTTTCTATTTTAGGTAAAGGAAGTTCTAATCTTGTGAGTTTCTATTCTTTCTTTTTTTTGAGGGAATAAGCGTTAAGTGACTCGCCCAGGGTCACACAGCTAGTAAGTATCTGATGTCAGATTAGAACTCAGGTACTCCTGACTCTAGGGTCAGTGCTCTATTTACTTTGACTGCCCCCGTCTTGTGAGTTTTAAAAGGACAAGAGACAGAGCCTCTGGGAGTGAGCCCATGCTGGGGTTTTGCAGTCAGCCATATGTCTGTGCCTCAGGGAGCAACAAGTGATTCTCAGGTGTGACCTTTAAGACCCAGCTGAGATAAGGACTCATCCGGCACTCATGCCATATTTGGACATGAACTTGGTTGGAACCAACGCTATTATGTAGAAATTGTGCTAAAAGTGACGCCACTTTCCTCAGAGACTGAAGTAGCATAGGGGAGAGTGTACTCCTGAGACCTTGGAGGGAAATGCTTGTACTTTCTTTTGTTTTACTATATCATTTACTATATCCTTCTATAAAAGCTAATCAGTGTTAAGAGGCAGCTATGTGGCTGAGTGGATAGAGCTCCAGGCCTGGAGTCAGTAAGATCTGAGCTGAGACACCAGCTGTGTAACCCTGGGCAAGTTATTTATCCTCTGTTTTCTTTAATTTACTGGAGATGGAAATGGCAAACTATTCCAGTATC